CAGTCCACAATTTTCGTGTTTTGCAAGAGACGATCATTACAAAAGTACAGCGTGGACCGTGAATCTGAGTACTCCTTGTGTAGCTCGAATTTAGCAACTCACTACTCATAAGCTTGAGAGTAGGCAAGTAGTAGACACTATGTAGCATACTATCAAGTCGGTTAGAATAAAGCACGTGAAAAGTGGATGAGAGAGAGGTAAATTAGCGGACTTGTCCACTGATTAATGCATTTGATATATTCCTCCTAAGTATATTGGGAACGAATGAAGATGAAGTGTGATGAAGTCAGCAGTCCCGATGAGTTGCCACCGAGGGTGAAACTGAATTTACATTCAATCCATCTTCAGCTGTAACGTTTATTTAATCAATTTTTGTTCCATGAACACACCCTGGTTTATGTAAGACTGACATGTATGACACCAGTGTATGTTAACTGTCTGGAAGACATTTAAATGACCCTAAATTCAATCAACTTGGCTAAAGTAGGCACTAGTAGTAAAGCGTCGAATTGTTTAGGAATATATTGCGTAGTCTGATGCTCTACTTCTGTGTTCAAGCATTCACGTTGCATCCAACGGTGGGAGGCATTCGCTTGGAGTTAACTGAGCAGGTACCGCATCTACATTCAAAGCTGTTGGATATTTCTGGCTCTCATAAAAGATGACATCTGACAAAGTTTAACTTGGTGATTTGTATGAGCCCTGACGTACCGGGGTGGCGCAGTAGCAACACACACACACCGTCGGGATGAACAGGCTCGGGTTCAAACCGTGAGTTTGGTGAAGGATGAACGCCACTGATGAGCTCTAGTAGCAAAACTGTTTTGATCTCTGTTATCCGTGGTTCGCATACCCCTGCCACTATCCGCGCCTTCTTGCCCGTCACCATTCGCTTATTCAACTGCCAATGGAGGCTTCATGTACACGGTTTTCCTGGTATCTGATCTAACACCCATTCCATCTATGCGAAAACACAAATTCTGAGGTGGTAGGAGATCCATGGATTCAACAAATGCTTTGGTTTTCTATGAAGTTTCATTAGTTGCAGAACAAACAATTCTATTGAATACGGGATCATGCAATGTACATTCAGCCATTTTTGTAAATCCTAATTCAACGGTTGTATGCAAGCGGAAAATCCTGTAGTGATAGACGGGCACATTGTATCCAGTCCGCCAGAGAGACAAAGGGAAAATCTGGTATCAATGGTCGAAGGAGTATTACGATCTTTCGGACCCGTGTGACTTAGCGAACCAAGTAAACTGACGGCCGAAAAATCAATGTTACTCATTCCCATTGGAGAAACTCCTAGTGTTTGGTTTGGACTAGTTGACTTCCGTGTTTCCATAAGTTATATTTCTTCCTGGCCCCGAACATCGAACAAAGACACGAACTTGACCGACCACAGCTGCGCCATGCACCTCAGACAAATAACTGACACTAGAAAATCTGGTAGCCGTCACGGGCAGGAAAATATCATGTAGCTCGTTGAGTCGAACCATTGAAAAATTTGTTTACCTCTTCTGTGGAATATGGCTGAGCAGGTTGTTACGGATCAAGGGGCTCACTTGATGCGCATGATTGCGAACCATCATTGGTGTTAGTGATGCTCGTAATTCGTGATTGTCCCACTGTGATGTTTAGTTGAATAAAGGTTACGGAAGACAACGTCAAGGATCCTTTCACTGACTGCACAGGTGTCTTTGAGCCAAGGGTCATATTGGCTCTTATCATTTCTAGAGATGCAGCACCAGTGGTGGTCGGATTTTCGGGGACAACAGAAATCATCAGTCGAGTGGCATTTGCGTACGCTGATGGAACTAATATCATGGGCATTGTTGTATGTGGTTCTGCAGCGCTGAATTTCCCAACAGTACCCGAGCGAATCAATAAGGAGTTTGAACCGAGCTCACCGCTGAAATTACCACCATGGTAGATCGCTTGTTTCCCCGAAATGGGCTTGCAAATTTGCACTGTTCGACCCATGCCGTTTGATATTTATTGCTCCTATCGGTCTGCGAATTCACTGTTTTCTGCTTGTTGCTTCGCCAAAAGAACGACGGCACGATGAGGCAAGTAAGAACAATGGTTGCTCTCTCTGGTCGGTGCATTGTTAGCATGTTCCCGTTCCAAACAGTGCTTCAATGCCTTAGTGTACTTTTGCCGAAGGTTTTCTGAGCTGCAAAAACGTTTATCGAGCTGAGATTAGAGTTGTACGATATATGCTTAAATATTCGGTAACATCGTTGAATCGGTTCGACGTGGTAAGGCCATCTCACGATATCCGTGTAGAAAGCATGCTGTCTTTCTCATAGTTGTTAGGACCTCGCGGTCTCGTACGGACATACCCTTTTCCTTTGATGGGCCTTCATCTAACGAGTCTTGTTGATAGAATCTCCCTAATTCCCCTTTAAGTTCAGCGGTCCTATAACAATGAACATTCTTCATTTTCATCGAAGTTACCTATACGAGTCCTATCACCATTCATCCCAGGACTGCTTTTACAGCATATGGTTCGTCCGTGTCACCCAAACGTTGGTATTGTATCTAATATACTTCTGGCAGGTCGCACCCCAACAGTGATCCGATCTCCATGTTCTTGCATTACGGAAATCGGATAGAACTCAGATGCGGCTAGCGCTGCCAGTTGATGGCTTGGTAAGATACTATTCACTTGTGGAAGAAACCTTACTGAATATGCCGTCTTGTAGTGGATCACTCGATTTGAATCGTCGGATTCAATGTTGAATTCCACCTCAGTAGCTTGAAACGTAGCTTCCTGTTTAGACATCCAACACTGTGCCCGTTCCACCACCCGATAACAGAGCTGAAGGGACACGTTGTTCAAGCTGAATTCGCTGAGCTTTCCACATGCTGATAAGTGCTTTCCATTCATGTTCCGACTCTGAAAGCCTAGTGGTGACATCAACACTGTCGGTGACATCGAACTCTATCAAATTCTTTCCTTCTTGCATAATAGTCTGGGAACTATCCTGAAGAGAATCTGTACCGATTGACGATTGACGTGAACATCTGCGCCAGCAACGTTTATTACAAGCTCATCCGCCTCGATCACGGTCTTCATTTTGGATACCCAGAGATTCAAATTTCACTAACTCGCCAGAAACAGTTGAAGCTTAAATGCCTCATCGATTCTTGGTCGCCTTTCTGCAGTTTTGGCTTTAGGCTTTTCCCATGCATTTAGAAGAGTGCGACATTTTTCGTGAAATACTTCCTTGGAGTTCGAATGATTTTTCAGCTGTTGCCCCATCATCTACATCTAACTAAACCAACTTTTCCTCCAAAGCTGCGAGGTCTATCTCCAAAGTGTATGAATCAACAATAAATCTCAACCGCAATCGCTAACTGAGAAGAAGATTGATTTCGCATTCATCCAAGATACCACGAAAAAGTTGTCGTATTTCATGCATGTCGAACTGTTTCTGATGGCTGTGTTCTATCTGCTCTTCGAGTCTATTCAGTGCTTTTCGAAATTATTTTGATTTTTTGTGCACCACGAAACTTCAACACAGTTCTTTTTTCAATGGCCTATCCTCTTCGTCCTTTAATTCGTGAGCCTGTGTTTTTAAAGTTTGACATCTTGTGAAAATTTACCGTACTCTTTTCGAAGAGAATGACGTTTTCGAGGTCATCACCGTATTCCTCAGAAGTCACCTAAGTTTCTTTTCATCGATGCAGGAAAACAAATCGTTGGCTAATCCGAAAAAATCGGTTGAATGTGTGTCTTTAGTGGAGAAGTCTGGACTTTTCGCGAAAACATCGCCTCCAGTCTGTCTGAGTCACTGATTTTGCATTGCCAATGTTCCAGTTCGATAAGATTTTCCAGTTCAACTATGCATAGTCTTGCATGTTCTACCTGTGCCTCATTCCGGCCTCACACTTGGCTCGCACGTTCCAGATGGGTCAAATGAGTGAAGCACGTTACATCACATTTTGATCACTGACTAAGTTCGTAAGGATATATATATATATATATATATATATATATATATATATATATATATATATATATATATATATATATATATATATATATATATATATATATATATATATATATATATATATATATATATATATATATATATATATATATATATATTCACTAGAATCTAATTTGAATCGTCTGGATTGTGAATGGATACTCTTCATTGGAGAGCCCACAAATGAATCACAACTGTGATTTCTCATAGTTATTCGTGATGAGCGGCAACAACCGCGAAACCTGTCCTGTGATTCCGGGAAGATTTTGTCCACACGTTTGCATACTACTTACTAATACATATATATATATATATATATATATATATATACCTGCCTGATTTGAGACCGCGCCTAACAAAACATGATACAATCGTGGAGGAAGCTGTAGATAGTGCGAGTCCGCGATTTGTTTCTAGACACGATACTGCCAGGTTGCCCAAGTCAAAGTAGGTGGCTTTCTAAGGGGTCCACTACCAGAGCCCTTAGCTAATGAAGGCTTGCCCGCAGGGCAGTGCGACGGAGCATAGGGTCAGTAATCCACTGGAAGCCGTTGACTGAATGCTCATTTCATACGCCCTTCTGAATAGGGCCGAACATCTTGGTTGCCCAATGTCCCTCTTCGCCACAGCAGCCGGAGAGCATAACACTTTACGCCCCATACACCACAAATGGTTTGATTGGAATCAGGGTATAACTGATTGCAAATCAGCCAACCTGGACATTCGCTTTCGTCCTCTTACTTTAGTGGGAACACCTCCGTCATGAGAAGGCAGTGAGTAGGACTTCTTTAGCAGAGGCTGTTTTAGACACACGGTCACTTGGGATAATGATGATGGCTCGGAGGATGATGATGATGATTCGGATGATGATGATGATGATGACGATGATGATAACGATTTGAATCTTGTCGTCCCTGATGAACATTATCATCCGGATGATGATGTCATTGATGATTCTTTCGTCGCTGATGATGGTGATTTTGACGGTGGTGATGTATGGATTTTGGTGATGATGATGATGAGGAACATTTTTCACATGGTGACGATGGTATTGATGACGATAATGATAAACCGCATGAGGTTACTCATGACGATGATTATGATGCTGATGATGACGGTGAAGATGATGTTGATAATGATTCGGACGACGGTGTCTATAAAGATGATGATTTGGATGATGACGATGAGGAATCAGACAAGTCGGTTATTTTGACAGTGGTTCCGATGAAGTCGAGGGTGGTGAGGATGGTGATGTCTATTTTTGTGAAGAGTATGTTGATGATGATGATTCGGATGTTGACGAAGTGATTCGCATGAGAATTATGACGGAGATAGAAATCGTGATTACGATCATCTTGATGATGATAATAAAAATGGAAATTATTCGGATGGTGATGACAATGAGTATGATGAGTTCCATGATGATGATGATAATGATTATGTTGCTGATGAATCGAGTGATGACGTATTTGAGGTTAAAGATGTTGATAAAGGTTATGGTGATGAGGAAGGGTTTTCGGGTGATGATTTTGAATAAGATGACGACGATACTGATGACGATGGTGGTGATGAGGATGATAATTATAAAGATTATATGGATGTCAAGAGTGATTCGGATGATGATTTGGATACCTAACTGCACATTACTTCCCATGTTTCTCTATCTGCATCATATTTTTCTACTCCGCACCACCATTTCGCTCTTCTTCATGCATCTTATCTGTTATCTTTCTTACACGTATGACGTTCCCTAATCAATTTCCTTTTAAAGTAAAAATATTTGTTAAACTGTTTTTAACAGGATCGGAAGCGACTAGCGGATTGACAAGTACAGAAAAAGACCACCTACACAAACGATGGTACCACTCTTTTCGAGTGATCAAGTCTCGGTGCTTGAATTCTGAACTAGGATTCACGCATCACCGGTTAATTCCGCTAACCCCCGGTTCGTTTCCACGGTCAAAATGCATGATTCATTCTGCTTTGCTCTCTCGCAGAACAATTTCAAAAATAAGCCAGTCACAATTTGATACTGGAATGTTGCGATGGGCTTCATGTTCTCATGTGTTTCTGGAACTCATCACATACATGGGAGGAAATAAGGAGGAACTGCTGTAAATTTTCGCCACACAGTTATCATTTTTTAATACGAAACCCTAATAGTAAGTTTATTCCGCCTCCAACATGCCAGTTTTGATTCCAGCTGACGAAACGTCGTTTGGACAGCCTTAACAACATTTGGGTGTGTGCACGCGAATTGCAAGAAAACTGATAAATTTCCATGTCTAGGATCACGGTTTACAGCTGTGGCCTAGAGTAAGTAAAATTTTACTATGCTCAATGCTTTCCGGAGGCAGCTTGGATGACCGCACACATTTCAAAACAATACGCACCGGGTTCGAGTCCCAGATGGAGTTATTACAGAATTACAAAGTGTGGTGCAGTACGCCTACTACTTACCGAACAACTAGCTGTCTACGTATAACACAGTTATGGATAATTGTGGATTGTCAATGAACGTAGCTACGTGACAGGGAGCGAATGCGACAAGTTAAAGGAAGGCGTGCAAATCACCTGATTGCATCCTTCGACCGGATAACAACTGCCTTCAAGTGGACAGGACCGCTGGAATGCAAGCCAACACCGCTGTTATGTTTTGATGGTGATTGTTTTGATCCTGGGTGTTACTCTGGCTATTCCGGTTTGCATACATTTACCACTTCATTAAGAAGGGCCACGAAAAATACCTACTCTGAATGTGTCTACGAAAGATAACCTGGAGACATGATAGCATCCACATTTTTTTCTCAAGCCCACCATGTGACATTTTGTTATTCACGGAATAGTTTCTGACTTTGGTGCATTTCTGTTCCACTTATGTGACAAATCTTCCAACTGAATGTAAGAAACCAATTATGAAGGTCAATTAAGTGTTTCTGTGTAGACCTAAATCAATTTTTGCAGAGCACAACGGTTGTGCTTTAGGTTTTTCTTAGCTCGGTCTGAATATGTCAGGTCAAATCAAGTAAAATACTCACTTGTGTAGCTCTGGGTAGGCCAGGAAAATTCTGTGGTACTCGCTCAGGTGAAATCAAAGCCAGTGAATAGTGGTAACCAACAGAATGACAGTGACCATCAGGAACAGAATAAAAGTTCTCTTAAATATACACCGTTTCGCTGTTATTTTGGAACCACGAATTTTGTCGCAATCGGAACTAACCACTCTTTGTGCAGCTGAGCGAACAAACCGACCGCAGAGAGAGGGACAGAAAAATGGAACGTGTTCCGAGTGTAAACCACTTGATAACAGACTCATTCGCAACCATTCTCATCGGAAGAATGATTGTTCAGTATCTCAATTTAAAAATGTTCTGTAACAAATATTGACATGTGTTATTACCATTGAGAGTGCACGTGATCAACCCGACGAATTCGGCAAGTAAACCAAGGAAAATAAGACCGGGAAAGCACCACATCAGCGAAAAAATGGGCTAAATGAGAAAGAGGTTTACTTGATTGACCCCGTGGTTGAACTGTACACTCACAACCCAGACAGTGTCTAGTTAGCAACGCCGTATTCACCTATATGAATATCAGTCGGATCGAGGTCAGAAAAATAGAAAATAACTGCTGGCTCTCTATCGTTCTTGGCCTTGGAATTTAGAAATAGGACTGCTAAAACTTTTGGAAGACATCAAAGTGTAAAACTTGAGTGTCGATTCTCTGCTACTCAGAAAAGCTTTTCATAAGCTTATCGATTGAGTTGTCCTCTATGCCTGTGTCTTTACTGAGAAGTTCTTTGTTACCGAACCTCTGGAGTTTTGACACCATCTCATTGGTGGTATCCTCAGTGCAACTTACCTCAACTGTTGTGAAATCCCCTAGGTAAAATTTCTGTCCTAAAGTCCCAGAATAATTTGCACCTTAACTTGTGTCAAACCGCGGGTAGCCTTAAATCAGTAAATGTATCCAGAGAGGAGACTCCCCAATAAACTCCCACTAGCTGTTGAAGGTATCAATGAATATGAAAAACCAATTGATGTTTGTTCCGATTTTGTCTGAAAGGCATATGCATGTGACACAGAGACTGTCAATCAGCAGTGAGGTAGCTTGTGATGAATCGGATATATATTTTCGTTAGATAGGCAGTTGTACCAAGCGAGCTAGACAATTCAAGATGACGTGAACTACCGTTCAAACTGTTTGTAAAACACAAATCTCATGCACTGATCTATAAGCGCATTCTAGCTGCATTTTGATCAGATGCTTGCGGATATCGGGCTTTTTCTTCTACACTTCCTTCTTTATGCAATAAACCGACTGACATTGGAATGCGATAGCTATGTGATTCATTGCATAAACAAGCCGAGAGCCATAGACATGAGACGGAGAATTGGTTATCTTTGGAAAAGTCTGCAACAGTCAAAGCTGATCCCACCACCAACAGCAGTGATAAGCCGAGTAAACCAGTTTGAAAGCTTGGAGCAAAATAGGATTTGGTTGAGTGTAAAAACAAGTGAAAAATTATGAGCCACCTTTTTCGCCGTTTTGCTTCACCCAAAGGCAACCATCTCTCCATTGGTTATCACTTTCCAATGGTTTTATCGGGACGTGTTTCGTAAAATATCACCATTTTATCGATGAATATACAGAGAAGTAGTTGACTTATCATGACTATGCTAAGAAAGGTTTTCCATTGTGACTTTTTTCCCCCACAAAAGTGGAGTTAGGTACCGAGAAGCCGTAATTGACTCTCCCATTAGATTGTTGCGTTCAGCTTGAAGGTTTGCCACGTGAGTGGAACAAAAATGCACCGAAGTCAGGAATGATTCCGTGAAAAACAAAATTTCACATGATAGGCTTGAGAAAAATGTGAATGCTATTTTGCCACCGGACAGTGTTTCACAGAAACATCCAAAGTAGAAGCCTGTGTCAGCCTGTGGCACAACGGAGTTCACCGGTTCACACCCGAGATGAATTGAGTGGGTGGGAATGCAATTGGTGATTGAATATTTTGCTCAGATTAGGAACACGTCACCTCCAACTGATGCTAAACGGTCCTAGCTGGCTCACTTCAGAAGGAGAAAGACTGGAGTAAGGGTGTTGATGCTTGCGATGGGGATGAAATCCGTTTTGACAGAAGTATATAAACAATCATCTGCGTCAGCTTCACTGCAAAGTGTATACACAATGGCGTAACACCGCAGTGCTTCATGCAAACAATGAAAGTTTTGGTGTTTGGACTACTTTATCTTCTCCTCGCACTGCTTGCAATAAATGCAACACAAGAAGAAATGAATCAACTAATGGTGGATTTGCACAACGAGTTTAGGAAGAAGGTTTTGAACGGCCAAATGGAAGGACAACCAAAGACCAAGACAATGCCAGATTCAATGAGTAAGATAGTTGCCATAATACGATGTCCAATAAATCACCAAGTTGATCACCTGTGTTTGGGCAATGGTTCTATTGAGGCTTCGATAGAAGTCAAAATGGAATAGATCTGTCTAGAATAATGCTTGATTTTTTGATGTAGTATGATGGTCTCAGGTTTGAGCCCAAATATTCCTGGATCTTAAAAACGTCTTTTTGGTTATACTATCTATGAGCTGGAAGAGGGATCACTGGACAACTAGGAGAGGCACTCGGGCTCACTCAGATATGATGAATGATTAACTGTATTTTTATGTAAGTCGCTTGACTGGGATGAATAAAAAACCTGCCTAATGATTACAATGGAAAAAAGTACTCAGAAACACTGAAAAATATCACATATTACATTTTTACTAATAAACAGAAAAATAATTTTTTCACCTGTATCTTTTTTTGCTTTGGGAACAATAAGGTACATTTCAACAGGAGTTCAGGATAGGCAGGAAAAGGGACAAAATTTCCATGTTGCATTGTGTCATGCCATAAAATTATAGTGACATGTTGGGAAGCAATTGAAGATAAAATAATTCAGTTAACTTTGAAGTGTGTTTTAACCGCACTTTTGAATCCAGCTTACCCTCTTAAGAGTCCTTACAAGAGAAGTGGACCATCTCCCAAGGAAGGCTATTCTACACGAAACCTATCACGCAAAAAATGTTGTCGTAAAAAAAATTCACATAGTTTCTTATCATGACAACGAAGAGATTCCATGTTCGGAAGAGATAAAAGATGTTAAAGCACAAAGAACAGCTCTCTTTTAATGCGTCGTAGTTCAGGAGGACAGAGATTAGGCATGAAGAGACGTTGACGGTAAAGGTAATTTTGTTTATTCTGACAGGAAATGAGAGTACGTTCCATGCAGAGGATGGAAATCCAGTTTAGATGTTAGATGGAGAAAGTTTCATCGTGCTATTTGAAAGGATTCTTGCTGTTGAGTAGAAAACAAAATCCACTACACCTCCAGGAAGCCAAGGTTTAGTGCTGGTTAGTCCTTCGGTATTGAGTACTACCATTTTTCCGAAAGGATTGATCTGATACTCTTACAAAAGTAATAAAAACACATTTCTCATCATTAAGTGGAAGGTCTTATTCAGAGGCATCCAA